ATGACCTACAGAAGGCTACAACTGCTGTAGTAAGGCTGGTGCAGAATGAGGCGTATGCCGATGAGATGAGCGACTTGGAAAAGGGAAAGAACGTCAAACATTCAAGCAGAATTGTCAAGCTTCGGCCAATGTTGGATAATGGAGTAATGCGAGTTGGAGGACGCATTTCTGAAGCTGCCATTGCCTTTGGAGCCAAGTTCCCAATGATCATGCCGCCAGGGCATCATGTCACCCAGTTGCTTATTGCAGCCTTCCACCAACGGCTAGCGCACGCTGGTCAGAACCACATACTGGCAAGTTTAAGGGAGCAGTTTTGGATACCTCGAGGGAGGTCTGCTGTGCGTAAAGTAGTACGATCCTGTTTAAAGTGCAAGAAGCAAAGGGCAGCCACTATGGAGCAGATGATGGCCACTCTACCAGCGTTTCGTACTACGGCTTATCAACCATGCTTCACTCACACTGGCGTCGACTATTTTGGACCGTTAAACGTGAAAAGAGGGAGAGCCGTGGTCAAGAGATGGGATGTCATATTCACCTGTTTGAATTCCAGGGCCGTGCATCTGGAACTGGCTACTTCTCTAGAGTCAGACTGCTTCATCAATGTTCTAAGAAGATTCATGAATAGAAGAGGCCCACCCAAGTGTATTTACTCGGACAATGGGACAAACTTTGTCGGTGCAGAAAGGGAAATTAGAGAAGCGATAGAAGACTGGAACCAGAAACGGATCTTGGATGAACTACTTCAGAAGGGATGTCAGCGGGCGTTCCAACCGCCAAAGGCTTCACATGCTAGCGGAGTCTGGGAGAGACTAATACGTAGTACCCGCACAGCCATCAAGGCCATACTCGGTGAGAGCCTAGAGAATGAAGAAGTATTAACAACCGTCTTAACAGAAGTTGAGGCTATTCTGAATTCTAGACCACTTTGCGCTGCGTCCGATGACCCAAATGATTGTGAACCCTTGACTCCTAACCACCTGCTGCTGCAGAGGGCTGTTCATGTTTTACCTCCTGGAGTCTTCGTAAGAGAGGACATATTTGCTAGGAGGATGTGGAGACAGGCACAAGTTCTAGCTGATCATTTCTGGAAGCGATGGCTAAGGGAGTACATCTCAGGTTTACAGGAGAGACAGAAGTGGCAGCGACCCCGCCGGAATGCTGAGATTGGAGACCTTGTGCTACTAGTGGACGACTGCTTGCCTAGAGGGCAGTGGCGTATGGGTCGAGTCATTAAAGCAGCTCCCGGAAGAGATGGACTTGTCCACAGGAAGAACGCTTTCATTTTGGTGTCTTTAGTGAAAAATTAAAGCTCACCAAAAGTTCTGTTCCATCTTTAATTACCTTTAATTGTGACATTAAATTTCCGAAAGGTTTTCTGTCCCTTTAGTTTACCTTTAATTGACCTTTTGGTTACATTAAAGACTAATAACCTTTAGGTCTCGTTTTAATTGTCTTTAATTTATTCCAAAATTAGCTATTAAAATGTAGCACCTTTAATTTCAAATTAAAGCAAATTTAAATGATCTTAGATCTTTCCTCATCTTTAATTTGAACTTAAACATTCGTAAAAGTAACGCAGAAAGAACGCTTGTATTTCAGAGTCTTTTCGGATACTTAATTAAAGCTTAACAAAACATCTTTGTGATTCTTGAAAATTAATAATTTCAAGTGACATTAAGTTGACCTTTTGGGTCAAGACAAACCACGTGCACGCGCTCGCTCGCATGAGGAATCCTGACTACTCTATATCGCAACCCAATCAGCGTCTAAAAAATAAATTCTATCCAGAAGGACCCTCGGCGTTTATGCCAGTCCAAAGGATATTTTCAAGATTCGCCTCAGCTGAAGTGGATGTAGAGGGACAAAAACAAGTTGTGATGGCTCCCATCAACAGGAATGTTCAACTGTAATAACAATTGTTGCGAAGCTCATAAGAAAAATCCAGAACACACCCAGGCCTTTCATTTGACGCTTTACAGTATAGCTTGGTAAAAAGTGGCAAGATGATTTCTACTTTCACATACATATAATTATTAGCATCGTTTGAAACTAATGAATAATACTACTAATAAAAAGTTTAACTGGTGTTATCATGAATTGCTTTTTTAATTCTCTTTTTGTCACACAATGTCGCTGAAAGTTCATCTCAGTACCAAAGCAGTAACTGTGAATTCCTGAAAGAAAACTGAAGCAAGTCTTTTCGCCTGATATTGGTGGACACTCCATCGCCTGCTGCATAACCCTGTGTCAAAGAAAAAATAAAACCTCATATCATAATTGTCAAAACTCTAGAAAGCTATGGCTACTGTCATTGAAAGCACCATTTGTGTGCAATTAGTCATTAAAGTGATACAAAATTTGCTGCTTAATATGTGTTGACTGGAAAAGATGCAGAAACTCAAAGATCTGACAAAAAGCCATCACTCGCACTCTGCACCATAAGCAATGAAATCACACATCATGATTGTTGAATCTCTAGAAAGCTATGGCCACTGTCATTGAAAGCACCATGTTATTCAAGTAACACAAAATCTGCTGCTTAATACGTGTTCACTGGAAAGGGTGCAGAAACTCAAAGATCTGACTAAAAGCCGTCACTCGCATTCTGCACCATAAGCAATAAAATCTCACATCACAGTCATTGAAAGCACCATGTCATTCAAGGAACACAAAATCTGCTGCTTAATATGTGTTCACTGGAGAGGGTGCAGAAACTCAAAGATCTGAAAAAAAGCCGTCACTCGCATTCTGCACCATAAACAATAAAATCTCACATCATAATTGTTAAATTTCTAGAAAGCTATGGCCACTGTCATTGAAAGCACTATGTCATTCAAGGAACACAAAATCTGCTGCTTAATATGTGTTCGCTGGAAAGGGTGCAGAAACTCAAAGATCTGACTAAAAGCCGTCACTCGCATTCTGCACCATAAGCAATAAAATCTCACATCACAGTCATTGAAAGCACCATGTCATTCAAGGAACACAAAATCTGCTGCTTAATATTTGTTCACTGGAAAGGGTGCAAAAACTCAAAGATCTGACTAAAACCCGTCACTCACAGTCTGCACCATAAGCAATAAAATCACACATCATGATTGCTGAATCTCTAGAAAGCTATGGCCACTGTCATTGAAAGCACCATGTTATTCAAGTAACACAAAATCTGCTGCTTAATATGTATTCACTGGAAAGGGTGCAGAAACTCAAAGATCTGACTAAAAGCTGTCACTCGCATTCTGCACCATAAGCAATAAAATCTCACATCACAGTCATTGAAAGCACCATGTCATTCAAGGAACACAAAGTCTGCTGCTTAATATGTGTTCACTGGAAAGGGTGCAGAAACTCAAAGATCTGACAAAAAGCTGTCACTCCGCATTCTGCACCATAAACAATAAAATCTCACATCATAATTGTTAAATTTCTAGAAAGCTATGGCCACTGTCATTGAAAGCACCATGTTATTCAAGTAACACAAAATCTGCTGCTTAATACGTGTTCACTGGAAAGGGTGCAGAAACTCAAAGATCTGACTAAAAGCCGTCACTCGCATTCTGGACCATAAGCAATAAAATCTCACATCACAGTCATTGAAAGCACCATGTCATTCAAGGAACACAAAATCTGCTGCTTAATATGTGTTCACTGGAAAGGGTGCAGAAACTCAAAGATCTGACAAAAAGCCGTCACTCACATTCTGCACCATAAACAATAAAATCTCACATCATAATTCTTAAATTTCTAGAAAGCTATGGCCACTGTCATTGAAAGCACTATGTCATTCAAGGAACACAAAATCTGCTGCTTAATACGTGTTCACTGGAAAGGGTGCAGAAACTCAAAGATCTGACAAAAAGCCGTCACTCGCATTCTGCACCATAAACAATAAAATCTCACATCATAATTGTTAAATTTCTAGAAAGCTATGGCCACTGTCATTGAAAGCACCATGTCATTCAAGTAACACAAAATCTGCTGCTTAATATGTCTTCACTGGAAAGGGTGCAGAAATTCAAAGATCTGACAAAAAGCCGTCACTCGCATTCTGCACCATAAGCAATAAAATCACACATCATAATTGTTGAATCTCTAGAAAGCTATGGCCACTGTCATATTTGAAAGCACCATGTTATTCAAGTAACACGCAATCTGCTGCTTAATATGTGTTCACTGGAAAGGGTGCAGAAACTCAAAGATCTGACTAAAAGCCGTCACTCGCATTCTGCACCATAAGCAATAAAATCTCACATGATCAGCACCTGGTCCTGCCTGGTGGCCCCTGGCAAACTGCCTTTGTTTTGGTGATGGTGAAATAATTACTGTTTTTCGAGTATAGGCTCTCCAAGAAGATACCCCTTATATGAGAAAGTGATGAGTGAGTACAAGAGAAACGCAACTCGCTTTTCTAGGTAAATTTTGTGTACGCTTGAGCGTTTTGTTTACGAGATGCATATGAATAACCTTATTGACGGTAGAGCTTATACTGAGAGAAAATCGATGTCAGCTTAAATTAGCTTAAATAAATCGCTCTGTAGGTTTTCTTTTCTGGAAGTATTAAACATGCATCGCTATTTATACATTAACGATAAATAGAACTACGTAAAAATTACCTTTTGATTCCAAAATTACAAGCCCACACGCTTTCAACGACGTTTAACACTGTGATTTTCCCGCCGATCTCCCGCCAGTGACGCCAGTTTGAGCCATTGTGTTACTGGTCAGCGACAAAAGATCAGAGCGAGGCGCTGACGCAACAGGGGACCAAATATAAAAATATTCGAAAAATAGCGGGCAAATCCTCTAAACTCCTTCGTCTTCAACTGTTGAGAGTTCGTTTGTCGGTTTCAAAAGGCTAGATCTTTAGCGCTTACGGCTTGCATCAATACTTTTTTTTCTCGGAATTTATAATTGTTATTGTACAGCTGACTGTACAGCGAGAAAGCTTGTAGTTCTTCGGAATTTTTTATTGTTATTGTGCAGCTAGAAATCGGTTCGCAATGGAAGGTCGATCGGCTGAAGATTGTGTTGTGCTACTAGAGGAACTAATCCAAAGTAACCGAAAACTCGCCGCAGAAAATGAGAAGCTGCGGCGAGAACACGAGGCAGCTAGAAGAAATCAAACACAAGTCCTGCAAAGGATTGAGCAAAGGTTAAATGAGCGAGAGGCTCCTGGCGAAAGACATCGCTCCAGACGCAGGGCTGCCGCTCATATAATTGCCTTTCCTGTGGCATGCAGGGTAAGTATAAAAAGAAACGTGCATTCGAATGACGCAAAGACGATTTGCTATAAATACATGAAAATTATACATTACAAAACTGAAATGACTGAAGTAGGTGGACAATGCAGAATGAGGCGTAGAATTGGTTTGAATGGTTTTGGCGCGCAAATCCTGCATAAATTACTATCGTTCGGTCAGATACACGACACTGCCACTCGTGACACTTTAGGCTGAATAGGTCACTTTTATTTCATTTAACTTATTTCTTTGTTTGGGAAAAAAGCCTGCACGGTTTTAATAGACAAGGAAGAAATTTGTGTAACAAGATTAAGGAAGATTTCATTTGTATTTTCTACCTCGGCCGCCACAAAAGATGTATGCAAGTAATAAATTACTGTACCATTACATGGGCATATGAGGTGGTGACAATAACTGACAATAAGCGTGGAACGTCATTTTTTTTTTTGCATTGCAGGAGTTAATTTTTTCAAGCTACCTCTTTTTTGAGTGAGACATAAATGACATCAAAACGAAACCAAAGCAGACATCTGAATTTTTAATGCTAAATTCTGGCTCCTGTCCCCGAGAGTCATAACCTGGGATCATAGGCGTACGGGCCGGGGGGGCGAGGGGGGCTGCAGCCCCCCCCCAAAGTTTGGGCAACTCAGATTTTTTGGGCAGCGAGAGGAAATTTGGGCAAAGCCAGTTTTTAAAGGAAGTCTCCATGTTCATTTAATTATTTTAAAGAGCTGAATATTAACCTGAAGTAGGCGTAATAATCCAGTTACATTACAGTGGTTGCTTAGCATGTGATGAGTAATTTACATATTTGCAGTTTTTTTTTTTATGGGCACTATACTGCACTGCACAAGCTGGAATGGGCTATTTCCAGTCGAGAATTGGTTAAAATAAACTTTCGCATAACTTTCTAGAATCATCTCCACTCGAAGAACAGTGTATGGCAGATAGCATTTAGCAATGGGTATTGCCTGCCTTGCCTGCATAGCAAGCGTTTCCGCGCGATTTCGACTGAAAACTGTATGGACATGAAGAAGTGGCTGACTAATTCTCAGTTTGAATTACGAGAAGAATCTTAATTCTTTTAAAAAATCTATCGAGCGGTTTAGAATTATCCGCTGATTTGTTAAAGTAGACCGAGATGTTTACAAAACCGCTAACAAGAGTGTCTCGATGTATACTAATCAAATCCTTCTTTCGATTCTAGCAATCAAGCAGAGCTACCTCCACGATCTTTCACACAAGTTTTTAAAACGATTAAAGCTACTATGAGGTGAAATTGCAGGACAAAAGCACTTCATTTTCTACAGATAATGGCCAAAAATCAAGATTTTCTTTTCCTTACCGTATTTCTGATAATAAAAAATCATTGCAAAATATCTCGATAACACTCTTAAGGTTTTGCTTAAACTTCACGAACATCGAGGCGACCGTATTGGAGAAAAAAGCTCCTGTGAACGATTTTGTAAGGTTCCCGTACCGAGCAAAAATAGGTAATGGAGTCATTTCGTTGCTACGACAACTCCGATGTCACTGCAACCCTGATAATGCCAAATTTTCATCTTAATACCACTGTGGTCGCAGTTTTTCCAAATGTTTGCTTATGGCGACGTAGTTTATGCTCAGACTTGGTATTGATCCTGAAAACCTGTATCGAGCCACCTTCATATGCCAGGACGGCCTATGTTGTTGCAATATGGCCCTCATTTCTTTTCGACTCTTTCGTAAAAATTTGGGCAACTTAGGAGATTTTTTTGGGCAAATGGTTTACCGCCCCCCCTGGCAAAAAATTTCCCGTACGCCTATGCCTGGGATGTCTTTTGACCAGCATATTATTGTCAAACTGAGAAAGGGATGTGATTTCTTTCATTTATAGAGAACACTAAGGCAAATATACAAGGTCCTTTCTAAAAAGGAAGACTTTCACGGCTTCTACCTTGATGAAGAGTAAGTATAATAAACATCTATCAAATATTAATTTAACTACCACAATGGTAGGCCACACCTGGAGGGAATCTACGCAGATTTGGAACAGGTCAATTACACGTAGTATAAAATAAAAACCAACTGAAATAGTAATGACAGGAGGATTTATTAGTACCTCAGGATGTTTCTTTGGAAGGCACTACAGAACTTGGAAGGGTCAACAGTGAACACCTCCACCTCATGAATGACAATAGTATCCATTGTATTATGCCTTCCAACCCAATTTAGCTCTAGTTTTTCACCTGCCTTTTTTGTAGATTAACCCTTTAACCCCAAAAATCAACTTGCATATTCTTTACACTGTTCTCTGTTCATTGGTGATCATTTTAGTTTATTCTGTTTGATTTGTCTGTGATACTGTAAGGAGAAATTTGATGCTGGTCGCTGCTAGGGGTTAAAGGGTTAAAAAGAATTCCTTCAGAAGTTCAAAATGCCAGTGTCATTGAACATTGATGCCAATAATATGTACCTGATACCTACCAAAGAGACAATATGTATGTATCAAAGATCAAGAAAGTGACTTTGCTTTGGTGATATATCTTTTTAGAGTAAGCTCTGACAACAACGCTACTATCTTCCTTAGAGTAATGGCCCAAGTGTTACACCAACATGGAGGAGAGGAAAGGTGTCCATAGACAAGGGCCGTGATGGAAGGTACACTGTCATTCACATAAGGCAATTCACAGTCCAACCTTTATAATTGCTGTGGTCACCCTTTGGGAAGGGGCAAAATGACGGGTTAGTTTGACCCATTTAATACAGGTTCAAAACGCTTTAAGGAACATTAACAAAAACACTAGAAAGATACAGTAGTGAGTGAGAGTACCGAGGGATTAATCCTTAACTACCTCAAGGAGTTTTCCATTCCTCCAGATGAAGAGAGAAAAAAAGACAACAACAAAACAGTTCATTACAAGGAATGCACAATTTCATTTAGTGCAGCGGTATGCTAATTGTTTCAAGAAGTGACCATTTAAACAGCCTGAAAGTGGGACTGCTTAATGTAAATTTACCTGTATTCATATGTATTATAGTCACACATCATTAAAATCGGACAAATTTAGGCCATCTCCTGTTTATTTTAATTTTGTAACAGATCACATGATATAATATAAATATAACATCAATTAAGATTTTAGCCATCCAGTGGTAGCTTCATATCATTTGTAAAACATTGACAGGTTGGCCGCAGTGTTTATAAGTAATGAATTACCTTTGTCCTTAAGCAAACAAGAAAATCTCAATTGTTTTATTTGCTGGGCACCCTGAATTTTATAAGTTAGAGTAACTGGTTCCCCTACAATACGTCATTTCCTAGAATACAGTCCCCTGTACTGATGTAAGCCTGTGCTAATGCTAGACACCTTACTTTACCATTACAACAGCTACTCTACAAAGATATTTTCAGTCATTAAATGAGACTAGAAGACTGAAAAATTCTGAAAAATATGAAGATCATAAAAGGAGGACACGCATGTTGCATGATTTCTTAGAGTAACCTGATGTAAACCTTGGATGCTTAGTTGGTTTAAGTGGCTTGTTATCTCTGAAAAGGCAGTAAATAACATATCTACTGACCATATCTTTTCATTCAAAAAACAACAATTTATTATAAGATTTAATTTTTGTGATGTACAGAATAATAAGAGAGATTAGTCTGGATATTGTTTAAGTCTCATCTAATTATACTCTTTTGTTACATATCCAATGATGGAATTAGTTGGATTGTATTGTAATGAGTTCTGGCCCACCACCTACTCTTATTCTGTTTCTTTCTTTTAGAAGTTAACAAGGAGGACAGCTGCCCTAGAAATGGTGAAATGGGGCGACAAACATGAGAATGGAAGAAGAGGTCCTCCTGATGGAGACAATGAGCAGCGAGGATAGCTGTTATGAAGCTGACGAAGATGGCAAGGAGGCACTAACCAGTTATAAGATCAAAAAGCTCCCTTGGGAGAGCACAGCTCTGCGAAAAATCAAAAAGCAGCTTGATAAAAAGTATAACAAGAGGCTGTCTAAGAGGGCACGTGACAGGATTATGCCTAGAACTGTACGGAGCCGTCAGAACGTGACCCTCCTGAAATTCCTGAATGGGCCCTTAATGCTCAAGCATCAGATTTTCAACCACTTCATGAGTGATTGCAGGACTATCTTCATAAGTTGACAATGAACAGTGTTGTGAATTTTATTTTATAAATTAACGATCATCAAACCTATTTGATAAAGATGTACTTTTAACTTTTTGAATTTGTGGTCCATGGTCTATTTTTTTTTTTTTCACCACAAAATGGTTTTCCCATTAAAGTAGGCAGTGAATATTTCAAAATAAGAATTAGACATTATTGACAATAAACTTATTTTAAAGTAGATTTTGTTTGTTTCACTGTATTTATTTATTTCTTTAAGAGGAACCATGCAGTCATAGATTCCAGTGTTCAACTTATGATATTTTTCTCCGATAAGCTGAGATACCCCAGTTTTAATCCCTTTATCTTATTCTCTTCTTTGGGGCTTTTAATGAACATTAAAATAGATCGAATTGAAGGCACATTAAAGATGACAAACGCGGGGTATTATGAGACATTAAAATGGAATTAAAGGCAAATTAAAGATGACCTGGTGCCTTTATCAAACATGAAAATAGAATTAAAGACAAATTAAAGATGACTTGGGGCTTTTATAAAACATTAAAATAGAATTAAAGACAAATTAAAGATGACATGAGTCTTTAATACTACATTAAAGTAGAATTAAAGGCAAAGCAAAGATATACCACCAAGCATTTTTGAAAAATTAAAGCTATACTAAAGTTGACACAAAAGATTAATTAAATGTTACTTTAGAACGCTTTAGGAGCAGTTCCTAAAGTTTATCAAATGAACCTTTCAGTTACCTTTCTTCTTAACTTAAAGTGGTTATGAAATGGTTCATAAGTTAGCCTTTAATTTTCACCTTAAAGTCTATGAAAAGTGCATTTCATGTCTTTAGTGAATAAATTAAAGATAGTTTAAATACTTCTTTTGTGTATCTTTAGGTAAGCTTTAAAACAAATTAATTCTATTATTTCTTCCTGTGTCACTTATCAGATTGGTTTCTGTGCAACAGAAATGTTAGTTTGAGGCGCACGGGGAATCCCTTCCCATGCCTCCCTCGCGCCACAACCTAACCCCAATCCGTCTTTCACTCCTCTCACTTCAAATACACATAAATAGCAACGGGGTACGAGTCTGGAACTGAGGCGTTCGAAAGCAGTGGAGTGTTGAAGAAAATTATTGATTAACTCGCATACTTCCACTTCCCGGCCAGCCTTTTATTCTTTCTCCTTAGTCATGAATTAGGTGACGAGCAGTATAAAAAGAAATGACTTCGGAATGACTTGGCTTCAAAATGCAACCAGTTTGTGATCCGGCCCCTACATTCCGGGTTGTGAGCACTCAAGAAAAAGGAGGAAAGAAGAAGGTTGAGACCCTTTTTTGATGCATCAAAGAGTCTTTCGTACTTTTATTTATCAACTATGAATATTTTTGTTGATTTCAGGGAACTTCCTTGATGTTGCTTTCAGACACTGGCGTTCGGACAAAGACGGAAGTCTGTCAGGTAAAAATGTAAAATTCCCTTGTTTGTTCAGAAAGGTACGGAACAGATAAAACTCAAACAAGGCTGGGAAGATTTTATGTTGGAGAATTTGGGTTGTTGTCTCTTTTTAAAATTATACTTTTGGGCTCAAAAAAAAAAAAGATTTTTTAAAATCAACCGCAGACTGTGAAAGAAATTAAGTTGATCCCGTTTCATGAACGAGATTCGTGTCCTTTGAATACAAATGAATTGAAAAGCTTGTCATGCTTTGTTGCATAATTATCAGGAGCAACTCTTCACTCTTTTAAAAAGAGTCAACTAAAGTTTCCAAAAATTCTCCGTCTTCTTCTCCAATTTGAATCGCGTTTCACGGTTTCACTGGACAAGAGGACGCCATGCATCTGACGTAAGAGTACATTCGAGCCCGGTTTCTTGAAAATTGTCCAAATTTTAATTGAGGTTTTCTTGTCTAAGAACATTATTGAGCCTAATTACTTGGCGATGAAGTTATGGTAAAACAAAGGAAGTAAAATACAAGAATGAGACCTTCATAGAGGTGGTGGAGTACGTATGTCTCTGCCATGTCCCAATCGGTATTTTTAATTTGTATTTGAACGCGTTTTGTGAAGTTGCGCAAAGAAAAAAAAGCGAGTTGTTTATCTTATGGCTAATCAGTGATCACTTTACTATCCCGCTTACGCGAATGGCTTCGAAAGATCAACGACATAAGTAAATGATAGTAATAAAACATTTCAATACCTGGTTTATTAATAACGTATTCAGTGTAATTTCACGATCCCTTCTAAACCCCAAATTACATCACAAAGTGAAAATTCTAATTTAATTCTCAACACGAAAGAAACTTGTCGCGTTTCAATGTAAATAAAGTGTGTCGATTCGGCTTTTTATTCCCGTCGCAGAAAAATTTCGGGATCCCAACCCTCAACTGATTTTAACTAGTGTCTCGAAGGTTTCCTCAGTTATTAGAGGAGTTCATTCTCGCACGAGTTTCAAGCGCTTTGTCGCCAGCGAAGTTGGCCCGGACTGGGCAGCAATTAAAGTGCGTCTTTGACTTTATATGTCTATTAATTCTCTAAAAAGGAACAATAAGAAGCAAACTCAAGAAGTCCGGAGCAGTTTTAACTTCGAGCTTGCTCTAAACGGTCCAGCGAAAAAAATTCATAACAAAAACAACTTCTTTTTCAGCCGGAAAGGAAAAAAATATATAAAAAATAAATAAACTTAAATAACTATGAATTAGGAACTAAGTAAACTTCCATTTATGGTAATTTTCAACAAATGAAATTAACTTACAGAAATTGTCTTCCTTTTCTGACGTTTTCTTTTTGCAGAGTTTAGGTTCGAAAATCAACAAATCCTAGCGATTTCTTGACTTGTTTCACAAAGCCGAACTAACCTCACTTAAAGCCCTATTTTATTAGCTCGCTCTTGATTTAAGAGCTCGTTAATGAAATAGTTGGTACGCTGTCTGCTTTTATGCAAATAATTACGCAACGAAATTCACTCAATATAGTTCACGAGGCACAGCAACAAATGTTGGAATTAGCTTCACTTATCTCAGCGTGTGTTTTTGGTTCCTAGTTTTTGTGTATAGTTTGGGCTTATAGCTAACTCGTGCAGTGTCGTGTCTCCCTCGCGAAAGCCGGAGGCCGGTGACTCTCGACTCTCCTGCTATAGACAAACGCCAGTTTAAAATTACTGAGATCCTGCTTCTAAAAAATAAAATTTAACAAAATTGGCACCTTTGATTTCACAATTCAAAAACAAGCCCAATTGCCGGACCCTCATGCGAAGGAGTTATTCTCAATCGTCGTCAGAAAAGTAGAAGTTTTGGTTTACAATGACTGTTCCTCAGCTACCGCTTACCTCGGATCCCACATAGAAAACAAACAAAGATATTGAGTTTTAGTTAAGTTTCCTTTTTGCTGTAGAAAGTGATGTATAAATTGTGACTATAAAAGGGCTTAAAATAGCGTCCAAATTGATAGGACCATTGAATTTTATTTCATACTTTCAGGCGAATTTTTCGACTTGTAAAAACGATCAAAGACTAAAAATCAATTTAAATCTTCAAGTTTGTTATATAGTAACGAAAGCGTAAGAAAAAGCACTGGAGTCAACTTATTATATGTAAATTGCATTATTGTTCATCTGTGTTATAATGAAAAAGATCAAAGGAATCTGATTTCAGTTTTTTTTGTCCAGATTTAAAACTCAGCCTAACGCAGGGTCGTCAAAATACAGAGTGTAAAATATACCACATATTACGTTTTTGACTTTTACGGTTATTACAAGAAAGTGATCATTGTACTAAAATAGAATAAAACAGATTCAGTTTCAGGCAACGCTTTTGTCTTAAAAAACTATTGTGGTAACCACTTTTTTATCGTAGAAATTCCTTAATTTATTTCAGAAGGGAGTATTCACAGACAAAAAAGGTCACGTTTGCAAATCGGTACAAAATACATACACAAAGGAATCATCTTTAGTTAGTACATGGGAAAAAGAAGAATAACCGTGCGATTCCTTAATTTATTTCAGAAGGGAGTATTACAGACAAAATTAAAAAGGTCACGTTTGCAAATTGATACAAACTATGGACACAAAGGAACCATCTTAGTATTCGGAAAAAAGAAAAATAACCGTGCGATCTAGTTTTGGGATTTGCTACAAATTAGACCGAAAGAGTAAGGCCTCTCTTAATAACACTTTTAGTTCAGGCTTGGACCTAGGAACAGTTGTTATCGGTGGTGAAAGTAGGTGAAAGTGAAGACCCATAATAAAAGTCTTAAACACGAACGAAATTCAAGTCAAGTTGATATAAATAATATATGAATGCCTCGTGATAAGTTATTGCATCATTCCTTTGGTAAAACGTACTCGTTTTTCTACTCGTCTGGAAACTAAATAAACAAAATCAGATAGTATGAATCATTAGTCTACAGTCCGCGGCTTCATTCTCTAGTCACTTTTCACAGGGTTAATATCCAAGAGCTGTCAAAATCATGAAGTTCGTGGTTATCATTGTTGCGTCGGTTTGTGCCAACTTGTATTTCTGTATGGCAGCAAATACTTCAGGAAATCAAGTAAGATGATCCACCCTTCGCTAACTTTTCACAACTTAAGTTTCTTATTTTATGATTGAAAAGTTCATTTTTTTTTTACGATATAGTGTAGTGTAAAGCGGTTTTCCATTATTACACCCGGGACTTGTTTCCGGGTTGATTAAAATAAGAGTGCGAGCAAAGAGTGTTGTGACTGAGTGTTATGGAGGCCATGAATAAACTGTGTTCTTTTTAAGCCTTTGTGGCGGGTTTTCTGTACTACATATAGTCCGTGTGGTAGTATTTGCTTGCTCTTTAATTTCGATAGATAAAAAAAAAAAATCGATCGCGCGTCTTAAGTGTGATCCCAAAATATTTTAGAGTTGATAATCTTACGTCGTTTTATTTCAAAAATTAATACGACTGTTAAAGCCGAATTTATAACAATAATAACGTTCGATGAAATAGGTTAATTTTGTTTTACATCATTTCTGTTTTCATCACCAATTGAACTGCAACGAAAAAGTTTACGCACTTTTCAGTGCCTAAAGTACACATTCAATATTATTCCCACGCGCAGCTGATTGGAATAAATTCTTGATTTTTTAGTCCCATGACATAATCTGTTGACAAAGAGCAAATTTTTGCACCAACCTTCTCACAATCTGTTTCGAATAGACCCCTTTTACATTTTCCTAACGTAAAAAATTGGTACATCGAGGGAAATCCACTGAACTGAAGCGAATCCATGGAGATTACAAGAAGGTTTCCGAAATGCTATGGAAATAAACTCCTTACTTTTTCTCCTTTTCCTTGATTAACAGAACGCTTGCGCAGATTCTAAGCAGCCAATCACCGTCAATGATTTCGCAAAAGGAAGCCAAAAGGTAACATACAACCAAATTACACACTCCGACTATAGTTCAAAAGAATGCTGCGCTATCCGCATAACTTGTCATGTGTCATGTATTTTTAGGGTGAAAAAGGTTTGAAAGGAGACACGGGAACCAAAGGGGACAAGGGAAGTCCTTGCCAATGTTCCTTACAGGTAAAAGCAATAGTTTGAAAATGATTGTCGTGATTCACTGTCGCTAGATGATTAGTGGAATAGCCGTTCAGCAATTTTGTAACAGTAACCCAAAAAATCAATAAATAAATGAACAGAAGGAAATCTTCTGAAAACTGTTTTGTTAGACGAAACAAGTCAACTTACAGGCACAATTCAGTAGGAACTTTTCGTATAGAACATCAGATAACGACTTCCTTACTTTCGGACTTAAAGATCACTTTTCTGAAATTACAAGCGTACGCGCGCCTCTAATATTATTCTTTCTTTTGCAGAATCCTAACAAGCCATCTGCTCACATCGAAGCTGCAAAAAAATATTATGTTTCCTATCAAGCCGGCCAAAGTATTGCTTTCCTTACCATTTTCTACACCTTTTTCCCCAACACTAAATTTTTATTAACAATCACATAGAGTCAGCCAATGCTCAAACAACATCGAATCGCTTGTTTAGATTAGCTCTTGTGTAATGTCATGTTATACACCGTAGATTATATGAAAAGGTAACAGCTCATTGTTACAAACGGGGAGACAGATCATACAAAAACTAACTGTAATTTAAGGATTAGGACTCGAAACTAATTAATTCATTTGTTTCTTTCGAAGTAGACTGGCGCATTTGTATAGAGTAAAAATCACCCCTGTAGGGCCGGATTGTTCAAAGCTTGGTTAAGATAACCTAGGGTTAGGGCAAAATTGTAAATTCAGATATGGACGTTTAAAAAGTAAATCAGTTTAACTCTTTTGTCAACAAGTTGATGATTGGATGCTCTTAAAAATAACAGAGATAATTATCCGAGAAAATGCTTTTGAAAAAAGAAAAAGAAACCAGGGTAAAATTTAACCATGGGTTAAGCGCTAATTGCCCTTTGATTATCTGGGACTGCAGTATTAAAACATAACAATGTACGTTAGTGGAAATCGCGAAGTATTATCATCAATTTTCCTTTGACCATACAGTAATCAAGGACTGGTCAGTCAGCACCCCGTACAGCCATCTTGCAGGCGGCATGAAGTACCATGATGGAAAACTGACTGTGCCCACCAGTGGACGGTACTATATGTACGTGCAGGCCTACTATCGTGGGAAAGGAAGGATCGCTGTTCATGTAAACAACAAACGCGTGACCCTGGTCCACTTCCCCTGGCCGGGAAAAGGTGACACTGGCACTGCGCTCACAGCCGGTGTTTTCAACCTGAAATCTGGTGACGTCATCACGTTTGCTTTGGAATACAACTGCACAATTTACATGGGAGCCCATCACACCTACTTTGGCGCTTATTTGATTTGA